TCTTAAGTTTTGCAAATGCTCAGCCAAACTGATGACCGAGTCCAACACAACTGGTGTCTTGCTTGGAGAATGAAAGTTTTAATGAGTTATCCAATCTATGTCCTGCCCACCTTCGGCTCCTCAACGACTTGTAACAGCATAGCCGTTGGCTCTTGCTGATCGTTCAAAGGCCTTAGGAACAAATGGCTTACCGATCAATCAATCACAAGACAAACTTGTTCAATGCCAGATTTCATCAGATTTTCTACGGTCATTTGAATTAAACAAAACGACTACTGTATGAATACATTGAACAAATTTTGCCTCTAACCCGGCAACTGCTTGGATCAACTTCTTCCAATTCGTTGATCCAATCTCTTAAGAAAAACACAAAGTATCCAAATGTTGGGTGTAAGAAGCATTTTTTTAGGAATTTCTTTTATTAATTTTTTAATACCACCTCAAATATCCATTTGTTGGTTGACCTTCCTGCAGTCTTGCTGGTTAAGTTGGTTTTTTTCACAATCCATGCAAAAACCAAGGGTCAGACGCCAAAATCCAGTGGTTGATCGCCATATTTTTCTTATTGAAATAGCCATATATAAATAGTGGCTCAATCTCTTCTTGGGCTAAAACCCATCTCAACTTCAGGAGTGGTGAGTTCTACCCCATTTTTTGCTGACTTCCTTTAATTTCAAGCAGTTTTTTGCCAAAAAACGTTGAAATCCCAACTTCAGGAGCTTTCAGGCCACGTTTTGGGCTATTCCATCCAAACAGCCAACAGCTTCGAAGTGATCTCTGTGGTGGGCGGCGGTGAACACGTCCTCAATTGCCGGGAAGTGCAGGATCTGCAGGCGATTCCCGCTTTTTTCCAAAAACCCGGAAATTTCACGAAGTTTTTTTCAAATGGCATGGTTTAAAGGGATTTAAGCAACAAAAACCATGGTTTAATGGGATTTAACCATGGTTTAGTGGTTTAAGTTTTTTTTTAAATGGTTTAACAAAGATTTAACTTTTGAACCAAGCATTTTTATTGGGATTAGACTAGTAGCTGATGGAAAGGTTGGGATTTAGTTGACTACAATAGGGGCGCTCACTGACAAAATTCGGATTTGACTTAGAAAGCCATGGATTTTACCAACACAAAATTGGATGTTAATGTCAACTCAATGAACAACAAATGGGGATGTAGCCGGCAATAAATCGTGATTAAACAAACTAAAATGAGGACTTCAGACCAAACAAAATGGAGTATGACGTCTATAACACAATAGTTTTTTTTTACTGTCTATCTTGTCCATCCTAGAAATGGGATGAGGATCTCATTTGACTGATATGTTTCAGATGGATAGCTTAGCCACCGACTAGATTGGTTGCAGCTGTGGCTCAAGTTTTTACCCTGGAAAATGGATGATTTTGAGTCGAATACATGACCGTCATGGACCACATCCACTGGATGCCCTACATGGAACTGCACAAGTGGAAGGGAGTCAAGGAGAAAAATCATCTTCCTGAGTTCGCAGCATTTCTGGTGGTTTTGGCGAATCCCAGCCTTTTCTTTTGTCCGATCGGAGGTCCGATCAACAAAAACAAATCATTGTTGAATAGCCTCATTTTCACTGGTGATTTTCCCAATCTTTTTCCAAGACAAATAGTTCTAATTGCATATATCCACCACAAATCCAACGGTTACTATAGTTACAAGCCAACAGAAACCTGGGATACCTTTTCTCCTATAAATCCAATCTATTTCTTGGTTAAATTCTCATTTTCCTCTTTTTTTAAGGGTAAAATCTAGATTTTCTCACCATTTCCGTCAACTCCAAAATCTTTCCAGTCAAAACCACAGTTTTTTCTTGGGTGATTTCCCAATTTTCCCCATGGTGAATTCTCTTTTTCCACGATTTTCCGGATGGTATTTGATCCCAATTTTCCGAAAAATGGATTTTACAATTTTGCCACGATTTTTCATATAGTATTTCCATGTATGTCCTACATTTCTCCATCTTTTTTTGGAGGGCCTCCAGGGTCGCCCCTTCCAGGCCATGCTGGGCATGAACCTGGCTGGTGGCCTCCAGGCGATGGGCGTGGAAGGCGCAGGGCACTGGGCGGGCCGGGACAAGGCGCCCTTCCGGATGCTGGTGGGGCTGCCGCCGGCGGCGAATCCTATGGAGCGCCTTGGCGACCCGGAGGACCTGGAGGACCTGGAGAGGAGGATGGGACTGCCTGTAACTCAGATAGCTATGGGTGGCCAGTTTGTTGGATGATTTAGGTGTTGAGCTGTTGAAAAGAATGGTGATCGCACTTTTTTCAGAGCTATTTGTTTGTTGATTGTGGAGTATCCAGTGAATTTGAGTTGGGAGTATTAAGCAGCCATAATGGGGGAGTCTTTTATTGATTTCTTCCTGAAGTGCTATTCAAAAGGATCTGCCAAGTGTTATGTATATATGCATATATGTATATGTGGACTATCAATGGGGGTATTGACCAACCATAGTGGGGGATGGGGATGGGGGATTGGGGGGCTTGAAGGGTCCCTTCCCGGGGGGGGGGGGCACGAAGGTGAGAAGGGACGGGATGATTTCCGATGGGGATGGGATGGGATGGAATTTATGGTGGCAAGTTCGTGGATGATTTTGGATGATGAGAATGATGAGAATGATGGGATGATGAGGATAGCAAGGGAAACAAATCAGAACGAGATGGATCAATGGATGATGCTGGATGATGAGAATGGGATGGAGAAAAGTTAGAAGAGTTGGTGTTGTATTTCTGAACGGTCGGACCATTTCGGCTTGTTTTAGAACTCAGAGACTTCGTTTCCTTGGCCCAAGACATTGCTGTCGTTCCAAGACCTTAGCCATGCTGGGTGGCACTTGCTGAGGACTGGAAAGATACAAGTGACAGTTCCTGAAGGAGTATCTTCCGGGCAGCAGATACAGGTGGGACTCGCCCCGGATTTGAGACGACACAGATGTTGACGATTTTTCTGTGGCTGTGGGTATGTGTTGACTGTCACCCCGAACTTGGACAGATGGCAGTGCCAAAATGAATTAAGGTCATCCATTTATAATTGCGTTTCATCCATGTTCATCATGGTAGATCATCTGACCCACAACCACATGGGTATGGATCAATACCTATTAATACCATTAGGGGGATGAACATCCATTTACCAGCTATTTTGATGTTCACCAGGGGGATAGGGTTTTGACCCATCCCCACATGACTAGCGCCCAAAATTGTCTGGTTGTGTCTGCCAGTGGGCCCTGCCACCTTTGACGATGACCTGTAGCTGGGGCGAACTGTCTGAAAAAATCCATGGCGGCATCCCCTCCTATCACCTTTCCGGCTTTCCGGTGTCTGAAAATAGGCGGGCATCCCATGCATTTTTCATCATTCTTCATCATTCTTCCACTTCTTTGCCAGTTGTGGTGGGAAATCCAGCATTTCTGGAACCCATATTAAAAAGGCGATTTCCATCAATGGGGGTACCCCAAAATAGGTGGTTTAGAATGACAAATCCTATAGAAATGGATGATGAATAGGGGTACCACCATTTCAGGACACCCCCATATCATCTTGCCAGGTCACCACTCCAACGGGGGAACAGCTCTTAGTCGCTGTACCTCCAGGCAACAAGAAGGGGGCGGTGGTAATGGGAACCCCAAACAGCAATTTATCTTGGAAAATAAGATCATGTTCCATATATATATATATATACATAAATAAGCATATATATACATATACATATACATATATATATATATATATATGTGTGTGTGTTTATTTTTTTGGGGCTACTATTTTTTTCAGAATTTCAGACACAGCTGCTGTGTGCATGATTCAGCAGATGGCTTCATTGAAACATGGGTTCTTTCACTTTCACAGGCGAGCAAAGGTCCGTTCCTTGCGGCCAAGACATGCAGTTGGAAAACATAATTAATGGTGCCAAAAACATCAACCCTGGAAATCAGGCAGCCAAGTCGTATTAGACCTGATAAAATCGCTGTCACGTGCAACTTCGTGCACCCATTCTCGCAGGGGATGTGGCAAATCAGCAAGAGGTCGCAAAGACTGTGCGTTGAAATTACGCAACAGCTGATTGGCGATCGCACTTGCAAATCCAGATGAGAGTCGATGTGGGTATTCCTTATGGCAAGACGTTCGGAAGTTGCCATCTTGGTCAAGACCAATCGCTTGTTGGACAGGACGGCGAGCTCCAGGATCGGCATGAGCGTAGAGGTCAGCAAGGAAGTGTGGCATACGCAACGCCAAAAGCCCCGTAGGCTTCACTGTAGAGGCCCCAAAACGCCATTGTGCTATTTCATGGAGTCGAATGTCTGGGTGTTTCCGGAAGAGCTTAAGGATAGCACTTCTCCATACTGATGGATGGTGTGGCTGTGTAGGGATACCAGGGTGCTCCTCCAAGAAGAGCCCACCATAGATCACATGGCACGCCAATGCCCACACTGTTTGCAAGAAAAAGGCGCTACCAAGTCTAGTCTGGCGAAGCTCCCGAAAAGAGCGATGATCCAAACCAAAGAGGCGTAAAGCCGTACGTAACGGTCTCGGCCATCGATGGTGCTGCAGCTCTGGCGGAGGATCCGTCCAGCGCGCAGACGAAAAGGTCTCGCAGGGATGCCCTGAGATCGTAGCGGCGACATAGCCCTTGAGGTAGAGCTCGCTCAGCTGCGCCCAGGATTCGCCATTGGCATCCAAGTTACCCAGGACAGGTGAAATAGCAGTGTCCATGGACAATACCATCACATCAAAGTTGTGACGGTGAGCCCAATGGTCCAACCAAGCGTGAAGGTCTGTTTCACGTCGACGTCCTGCAAAAAGATGCACCACAATAAACGTAGGGCGAGGTCGAAGACCATGAACAAGAGGGGTGCAGGGACCGGCGGGAAGGTCCAGCCATTGCACTCGTTCGAGTTCTGCGTGCCAACGCTCCTGCGTCTGGAATAAACGCGGAATAGCCAGCTGGGGTGTAGAGCGCGGTTGGGCATCTTGTTGTGGAGGACGGACTGGTCGATGAGGTTCAGCAACAGGAATAGGTTCTGCTGCCTGATCAATTTGGCGGGTCAAAGATTGGAGGCGTGCTTCCAGCCAATATTCATCAAATTCCGCAGCTAATTCCGCATATTCTGCATCCAAATAAGCTTCTGCTTCGCCATCCCAAAGATCTGCATTGATGTCCGGGAGAATGTGGCGTCCCCAAAGGATGAATACTCTAGCTGTCCACGATTCATAATCGGTTGGCAGCCGACATAGAATATCCAACCATCTGTCTTGCGGCCTCTCAATGGGTGCAAAGTCATGATTGGCATCACAGAAATCACGGAACCAGTTGCGGGTTGTGGCGGAAAGCAAACTTCCCAGGCGATCACCTGCCCTTGCGGGATCATGTGGTTGCACATAGGCGGAAAATTCCGCCTCAACTGCTAACTTGCGGGCACGAAGATCAGCAAGATGACGGTCACGGGCAGTCGGTCCACATCCATATGGTCCAGCGGTAGGAAGAGCATCAAGGCGTGATTGGCCCTTCTGCGCAGTGGGGAGGTGCTCAGCTGCATAGGATACCGCATAGCCGATCTGTTGCAAATAGGCAAAGCAAGGGTTTGGCAATCCACTGCGAGGCATATATGCTAAATGTTGCTGAACCCGCTGGGTAGACCACAAATATGTCAAACACGCCGGACATGTTGCGGAGTCAAGCAAATGGTGCTCCAAGCTAAATACCCCATGCTTCTTCCGTCTGTGGGTGTGGACACCTTGTGGAGTGGTGAAGCAACGATCACAATCTGGGCAGGGGTATAAGCGCTCCTGAAGATGCAACTGTGTTGGGTCTGGACAGAAAGTGAACGCCTGACTGCGTAGTAGTTTGAATATGTCAGCATGCCACTGCTGAACTTCCAAAATCATAGCCTCTTGATACAGGTGACGTCTGCTAACTCGATGGATACGATGTTTCCAGCATCCCGTATCTCGCTGCCAGTGGTCAATGAGGTCAGTCAAATCATGGGCCACAAGAATTGGGTCAGGGTCCGCTTCGACGCCCTGCATCCATTGCAAATCATGACGGAGTCCTACTAACCATGAAAAAGGATGGTGTTCAGCTTCTGCATGTATCATAAGCTGCAGGAATTCTGGACCATGATGAAACAGTCTCTGGGCATAAAGGAGCCTTTCCGTTGCAAGCTTGGCTCTGGGATCCAAAATACCCGCATGTGAGAAAAGTTGAGCAGTGGCCCTGGTTGGCAAAGCATTTCCATAGATGATCTTGATCATGCGGGAAATGGCTGTGCGCAGTCGGTCAATCTGCCGTCCTGTCGGGGTATGCCATGAACCAGAGGCAAAATAAAGTTTTGAGAGCACCAAAGAGTTAAACAACTGCAGTCGGAGGCGTATTGGAAGGTGACGATTGGCCAAGATCCGTTTGCGGATATGGTCAAATGCTGCACGCGAAACTCCAATGCGGAAGGCAATCTCGGTATCCAATTGTTGGTCAGAGGTAAACAAGGTTCCAAGGTGTCGATATGCAGGAGTCATGTGAACAAAACTTTCAGAACCATCTGTAAAGGTATGCCACATGCCCGGCTGCGGAATCAATTGGTACTGTCGCCGCGAGGTTGCCGCATCAGGGCCACAAAATGTCGCAACAACGCCAGTCTTCCCTTTGGCCAAGTTGAGTTGGAAACCTCTTTTGCAAAATTCAGCTTTGACAAAGTCCAAAAGGTGAAGGAGCTTTGGGACAAGCATGCTGGCACGTTCAGCTAAGAGTGGAACCGCCAGATCATCACTCCAGATAATCATGTCGAGGTCCATGGCAAGGTGTTCTTCAAAAAGTGCAGCGTTTCCGGTCTCCTGGAGGTACTGCTTCAAAGCCAAAGAAAAATCGTACATGATGAAGTGAAACACTGCATCAGCAATCGGTGATCCTGGTCGCGTGCCACGATGCGTCCTCAAATACTCCTTACCATTGATGGTTGTCCATGTCGAATCATGCACATTGCGCATCAAGCGCACAAGATATGCTGGAGCACCCAGGCTTTCCAGCAGACATGGAAGAGCATGCCCAAGTTGGAGACGCTGGCAAGCATCATCATTCCAACGCAATGCATCCATGACAAAATGCAATTTGTCAACATCTCCAATGCCAACAACCATTTCTCTGACCAAACAATGAAATGCAGTCGCCAAGTCAACGAACAACACTCCAAAGCTTAGGCCTTTGGCTAAGGCTGTCCGGCCCGCAATGCGCAGAGCTTGAGAGCCAAATAACACTTCTTGGCCAGCAAAGCCACCAAATTGCCCTGGGAGACGTTGCGGTGTCAAGAGCCCCATAATGCGCTTCCTCAACAACGCATGGAAGCTCTTGGCAAGCGTCGGCAAAAGGAGAATACCACGAAAATGATGCACAGCGGAGGGATGTGGTCGCTTTGGAATCAAAGCCATAGGTCCCCCCTTATACTGTAGAGGTTCCTCCCCCCATACCCACATCTTAACCATCAAAGGAAATGCATGCTCTGCAAGTTCAGCTGCATGATGGTGGTACATAGCCGAGGTAATAGGGTCATAGCCAGTGGCACGCCCTACCTTGTTAGCTCGCAATGTATGCTCAAGGTCAAACAGGGTGGGAAGATCTCCAACAGAAGGTGGCATATGTGCTCTTTCCTGAACATGAGTGCATGCAGCTTCCTCAACCAATTGCTCAGGGGCAACAACACAGCCCGCCTCAAGTGCCTCAAAATGTGGATTCCAATTCTCCTCAAGGGCAAGTAATTTGAGTGGGTCGGCGGCGAGGCGCCGTTGTCGATATTTGGGAAGGGCTCGTTTGATGCTTTTCCAAAGGTCACGAGTTTGATGTGGGGCCAGATAATGAGCACCCTCTTCCAAAACATCATGGAAAAACTTGATGTCATCAACACGGCTAAGTCGTGTGACAAGACGGCCAAGATTGCGAAATTCATGCAGAGCTCGTGCAATGAAACGATCTTGGCTGGCAAGGATTTGGGCGCCTTGAGCAAAAAGAGAAACCTCGTGACCATCAGGCTCGACCACAACAGCCTGTTGCCACATTGCAAAACAGAGCTGAAGCAACGTAGATTTTTGCAAGTCGTTGGCTTCTCGAAGAGCTGAACGCCATTGTCGTTTGGCCAGGACAGCATTCCATGTTTCCAATGACATAGTAGCTTTAAGAGGCACAGGCCCTCTTCGTGGAGCACGAGGCATGCATTGTACAACCTGATCTTGCACCCAAAGCGCATGAGAGTGGACATCCAAACCAGGCCCGACTGGAGTACAGTTGCGCAAAGTGCTCAAATCTGCAGATTCGGCGGGACATCGAAGAATGGGCCTATAATGACAGGTAGTTGTACGAGAGAGGTGCATCTTCAAACGTACAAGAACTGCGCAATGGTCTTCATGATGAAGTGACACGTCAATGTCTTCTGGAATCCAAGAATGACAAGAGGTGGCTGTCCAAGCAGTAGGGAGTCCAATATAATCGTTGCGCGTCCAAGATCCTGATGGGTGCTTCCATGTACCCGATGGTCCAACATGACAGTCGAATGTGCTGGGTAGCCACAAACAATGAGATCTCACGAACGATGTAAAGGCCTCTGTTTTTTCGTTGCCAACTTCAGCACCAACCGGACCAATACAATGGCATTGATCTGCTCCAACCTTTGCATTGGCATCTGCCATGAGAACAACTGGCCACTCACGCAAGGCCGGTGGAATGGCGTCCCCAAGAGAAGCCCACCACTGTTCAATGGTTTCAATGGCATTGCCCGAATGCGGGGCATGTCCTGCAACAAGAACACAATGAAGCCAAGGAGTGCGAAGGCGTAGGAGTACAAATCGAGCAGAAACGGTGATGATCGACACGTCATCAGCAACAAAATACAATGCTTGTGGGTGTCCACGCTCATCAATGGTGGTGCCGTATGGGATGGTAGTGCTAATAGCAATCAACGTACCATGATGGCCTTGATCTGTAGCATTACCACGGAAGACCATGTAGCCAAGCATGTTTTTGTTGCCCTGCTTCAGCCGTGTCTCTTGAAGAGCAAAGATACATACACGTGCATCCAAGAACTGCTGGAAAATGATCTGTTGGCGAGTAGGTCCAGACATGCCGTGCTCTACATCAACCTTCGTTGGTGTGGCTTTCAACGTCAGGACATTACAAGACCCGAAAGTGCAATCAAATTCAGCCGAAGTTGATGTTGGCAGGGTAGTGGATCGGTCAGGCAAGATCTGTGTGGTTACCTGGGTCTCAGCTTGGAGAGGCAGGCAAAGGTCTGCACCAACCCACCACTGCTGAAAATGTTGGCTATAAAAAGTCCAAAACCAGGCAGCCATTGTACAGAAGCGCGGTGCAAACAACGTATCTTGCCAATGTTGGAGGTCATCTAGGGGTTTGCCCTCAGCAGCATCACTTGCCAGGCTATCAGCGATCTCATTACCCACATCACCGCGGTGCGCTGCAATGTAGTGGGACGACCACTTTTTGCCAAATCGATGTTCTGCATAGACCAAAAGATGTCGCACAAGTCCCGCAATGCGGAAATCAGCATTTGCATTCCAACGGCCAACAAGTTGATTGCCAACGGCAGTGTTGTCATGTAGCAAGCAAACATCTGGAGGTTCGGGTTGAATCAGTGTGGTGAGCTTCAAAATGTCAATGCCAAGCTGAACTGCCAGAGCTCCTCCTCGCAGTTCCGCTCCATAAGATGAGACTGTGGTGCCAAAGGAGGCTGAAATGGCACCACCAAAGATCCATCCAGAGTTGGGCTGGTAGACAAAGGCAACCGCAGCACCTCCCGTGCCAGAATCTTTGCGGGACCCATCGTGATAGATCCATACGTCCGAAATGGGCGTTTCACCATCCCACCACTGATCCAGCCAATGAGTAGCCTCAGACCATTGCTCAAGGTGGAAATTGGGCACAAAGAAAAACTGGTCAAAGATGTCAAGCTGCTTACGAACCTCTGTCATCAAAATGGGCACGTGAGGGCGCACAGCACTTCCAGGGCTCTCAACAGGGCCAGGGCCATGGAGGTCAAAACCAGGAAGCGCATCCAGCTGTGACAATAAATGATCAAGAAGACAAGTAAATCGATGTGTCTGGTGTGTCAACCCCGGTGGAGGCAAATGATCTGCAAGACGCAAAAACTTGTCGGTGTCTTGCGAAGGAGCAGTGGTACAGCCTCGCCAAACTGGGGTACGCTGCACGTGGAGCACAATACTGTAACCACTACGTCCTGGAATTGCTCGCCCAATACGCAAGGGAAGATCATGATACCATGCACGGCAAAGAAACTGAGACGGTCGAAGTAGACACTGGTCAGCATAGCCCATCGTGGTGATCAAGTGCTCAAGGTAAATGTGCTCTGTAGTGGTGACTGCACGACGGAAAAAATGGTCTTGTGCACCCAAGCCAGTTTGGTCCGTCAATGTGACAAGGGAAGTCACCCAGTCTTCACGTGCATGTTGGATAACTATCACATGCGCAGCAATGCCTGCCTCCAATCTCGGTGGAGCAGGTGTAGCAATAGTGTATTCAATGGGGGCATTGGCTTGGATGAGATCGCTCCACAATTGGCGGATACTGGGTTCCCATTCAGCAAATTGAGGCCAAAGTCGTAGACGACGTGGCACCAGCCCATGGGGCATCAAAGCTGAATGATCGGCAAACCATACCAGAATCTCAATGGAGGGGGTTTCATCCTCCCATTGCCGTGCTGAGGCAACCCAAAGGGCATGTAAATCTTGCGTGAATTCATCAGCCCCCTCAAGCTGAAGCGCACCAGGGACGAAATCGGGTGCATCAACACGTAGTTGGAAACATCCACGTCCACCTCCGCCAGTATTGCCAACTCTGCCAGCAGCAGCAGTGTTGGACTGGGCTGGCAAGGCTGGATGCTCACCAGCAACAGACAAGGGAGTTGAGGCCAATGAAACACCAACCTGCAGCATGGAGACATCAGCAAAATGGTCGCCGGCCAAATCAGGGCGAACAGGGAGCTGGTGATCAGGAGAGGCAATCCGAACACACATACCAAAACCTGAGTGAAGGTCATGAGCGGCAACAAGATGGAGCTGTAAGTCCCCAACTGTGATGGTGCAGCGTCTGTAGTCACAGAACAAATTGAGGTGCAACTCATCAATCACATCGGGCGCACGTACAATGTGAGGCAGGCCAGTAGCAAATTGCTGAAGAGCATCACGTAAATCTCCATCAAAAAGGTTTGTAACTACTCCTGCGACACGGTAGCGTGGCTTTGCTTGTTCAATGAGCACATGACAGGCATAGTCATGATGCCTGGGCTGAGGAGGCCTGGGCCGCACGATGTGAATTGAGAATGGCCGTCGGTGATCTAAAAGATCACGCCATGTAAAGCGAAACTCTTCAAGCCATGTAATCATGGAGTTGCCCAAACGAATTGGACGTGGCTGTTCACACCGAGGATGGTTCTCGTGGTGTATATACCACGTTTGAATGTAGAGCAAAGGTGGTCCATCATGGACCTCATGAATGGCGTTATCTCGGAAAACGGCTGCTAACTGGTCGAACCACTGCATGTCACCATCATGACGCGGGCGCAGACTGGGTAGCCTCGTGCCAGGAGGAAAAGTCATAGGGACATCAATGTCCTCTACATGGTCAGATGGGCGTGCCTGTCGTGGTTGGGCACCTCCAGGAAGCTGATCTGTTTCAAACTCGTGTTCCAAAATTTGGGACGCCAATTCATGTGCTTCAGGAAAACCAAAAAGAGAACCAACATCTCGTGCTACCTCAATTGCTGCTGCCGTGTTCCAATGCGGAGGAGGCGGAGGTGGCAAAAGCACTTTAATATACATGCCATGCTGAATGTCTCGCAAACCATGGTCACGCAAGTCCCATTGTTGATGGTTGAGAGAGACAATGCATTGCTGCTGAACCCAATCACAATAGTCTTCAACTCCAGCCAAAAGCAGAACATGGCGTCTGGCGAGCTGATGTAAGACTTTGTGAACTGCACGCGTGACAGTAGGGGCTACAGGTGCTTGGCCAGGCTGAGGTCTCGTGTGCATGACAATGTCAAAGATCACAAGCTTCTCATTGGAACCAATCGCAATGTCATTGATATGCTGGAGGATAATTGCTTCTTCCATGTCGTGAAGGCCATCAAGCCGAACTTGCATATGGTGGAATCCAGTAAGGACATTGAGTGGCATCCTCACCAATCTTGCAACATCTCTCAACACAGTGTGGTATGTTCTCCAATCCACATGTCCAAAAACATGGGGGCGGCCTAATCTGAAAACATGAAGTGCTTGTGGATCTTCATCAGAACTGAAGTCACCATCGTCAGGCGAGGGAGCATCTTCGTCTGGCACATTTCCACAAAGGTCTGCATGTGGCTCAGGGGGTTCATGCACATCAGGATTACCATCCTGAGCAGCATCATCTGGAAAATCAGGTTCCCCATCTTGAGGCTCGTCATCAGAACCATGACACCTGGAAGGAATGTCATGAAACGCATCTGTGGTACGACATTCCAAAGATGGGAGGCGGTTGCGCAAACTCCAGGGCTTTTCTGTCCAGCCATGAAACAAGTCCTCTGGCATGCGCATAAGAGAAGGTTCAAATAAATCATCATCATCAACCACAACTTCAACAGAGTCAGCAAAATGTACTCGACCAACCCGCATGGTAGAAGTACTTGGCAAACCGGTACCATGACTCGTGAAGTGAGTGCTGGTGTAATAATCGAAGAGCATGGCAAGTTCACAGGCATCTTCAACCGCCTGCCATTCACTCAAGAAATCGTGCTTGTAGCAAATTCGATGTGTCCATTTCATAGTGATCCAAGGTAGCGCAAAATGCGCTGTGGATCTCGAGGAGCGCCCTCGACAAGTGTACGCATTCGTCACTACTTGCCGGGCTCCTGAAAAGAAGCCTTGTCCGGTCTCTGCGCAAACGGCTCCATTGCATTGCCACCCAATTGTCTTGGCGTGGAAGAGGGCACAGCAGATGACGCCCCAGGGGTGGCGCCTTCGGCCAATCTCGGTCGTTTTGCTGCCTGCTCTTCGGCTGCAACCGACGCTTCTGCTGAAGAACGCAGGGAAATCAAATTGGCTGCCATCTGCTCTAGATTCTCCTGAAGAGCTTTTCCAGAGGCAAGTTCCGATGTCATCGGATCGTCTGGCGTCACAGTGCCGCCGAAGGCATGCAAATCGTCCTCCGACAAGGCATTCTTGCTGACGTCGAATCTTTCCCTTGCGTTGGCCATAGTGGCTTTCGCTTTCTCTATCACCTCCTGAAATTCTCTCTCCTGATTTTGGAAATCTGCCGTGTACTCCTGCCAATGAGTCACTGCTGAAGAGAGGAAGTCCTTCCATCGGACATGATTCTGATATTGCCCTAGTCGGGCTGCATCCAATGCCTCTCGGGCTTGACCTAGATCTTCGGCCGCACGGAGCATTTGATCTTTGGCGTTCAGGCCCTCGTCCAATGAAGCACTCTGAAGGATTGCATGTACTTCTGGATCGTATTGGTCGGGCTTCTTTTTGATGACTGCCGTCAGCTTGCTCAAAGTTTGCGCCGCTTTGGAGCTTGGATGCGGCGTTGCAGGCGGAGGCAATGGTGGCAATGCGGGCATACTTGGCAATGTAGGCCGCCAGGGTGGTTCTGGAGGAAGCGACTTGTTCACATCCGTGACCGCCGCATAGCCTTCCTGGGCCATGGTCACTGTCTCTTGCATCCCTTTGCCTTTCTGCTTCTTCTGAGAATGCTGTCCTTTCTGTCCATGCTTTCCAAAGTGATATCGCCCTTGACGTGGCGACTTCGGCCTTTGGTGCCAGGCAGCATCTTGTCGTTGTCCTCGAGGGCTTTTGCCGTAGTCCTCGGCATAGCCCCAATTCTGGTCCCAATTGGACTGCTGATACTTCTTCTTTGATTTTGCCCTTTCGGGCGGCACAAAATTCGGATTTGCATCTTCCCAGCTTGCTCCACAATGGCTGCAATGATTTGCCGTAGCCTTCGAGGTCTTGCGGCAATATCCGCACTGCCAAGGATCCATTGCTTGGGAGTTCTTGATCGTTTTCAAAAAAGTGAAATCTCGCGAATGGTGGGTGGCCAGAGTTCGATGGATGCGATGAAGGGCTAACTTGGAAAGTTGCACAAGACCACGACGGTGTAAGTGCCAATCCAGCCGAGCCTTCGCTCGCTTTCTTCTCTGGGCGCGCTTCTGTGTTGAATTGATGATGTCCAACAAATAAGAAAGACCAAAACAGCAGGAAACGCATATGTTTACCAGAAATCTCAATGGTAAAGACAATAAGGTTCACAAAGCCGAGAAGGTCAAAGATGAAAATCACAAAGAAGAGGACAAAGACCAGGGCGTACACCGTGCAGTTAGTCCCGAACAAAAAGAATTGCAATCAAATAAATATCAAAATTGTGTACAGCTGTGGCGCCAGCGAACAAATGGCAGTGGGGTCACACGCAAATACAGGAAAATAAATGAGCCAGTGAATTGAGAATATCGGGCAGCTCACGCCCTCAAATGATCAAAGAGCCAGAAGCGACGAAAAGGCAGCTCACGCCTGCGAGGTGATGACAGCTGGATCAGGGCTGTCAGAGCACGTGCAAAGGCCTCCAACAAAGGCCCGCGAAACGCTATGGCAGCGGAGCGTCTCGCTAAGGTTTAGGCACGGGGGGACTAAGCTCGAACCAAACCTTGAAACATGGGTGAATTAAAAAATACGTATTTTTTAGAGCTGACGCTCATCGTCGGCTCCGCCGGATTACTTGGCCCTCGATGTCATCGCAGGGTGGGCTTGAAAGCTATCGAATGAGGACCTGCTGCTTCAGAAATATATTCCTTATGCTTTTTTGAACATATTCATGGATGCGTAAAAACTTCTGTGGGAAACAGATTCTGTGTGTAAAAGCTTCTCTGTCTAAAGACTTCGCTGTGTAAAAACTTCTGTGTGTGAAAGCTTCCGTGTGTAAAAGCTCTCTGTGTAAAGACTTCTTTGCGTAAAAATTTCTGTCTGTAAATGCGCCTGTGGGTTAAAGCCCTCTGTGTAAAGACTTCTTTGTGTAACAGCGTCTGTATGTAACAGCTTCTGTGTGTAAACGCCCTTGTGTGTAAAAGCTCCTCTGTGTAAAGGCTTCCGTGTGCAAACGTCTGTGTGTATAATGACTTCTCTGTGTAAAAGCTTCTGTGTGTAAAAACTCCTCTGTGTAAACGCGTTTGTGTGCAAAATCTCCTTAGTGTAAAGACTTCTCTGTGTAAAAGCTTCCGTGTGTAAAAGCTCCTCTTTGTAAAGATTTCTCTCTGTGTAAAGGCTTCTGCGTGTACAAGCCAGTCTGTATAAAGACTTCTCTGTGTAAAAGCTTCTGTGCGTAAAATCTTCTGTGTGTAAACGCGTCTGTGTAAAAGCTCCTAACCAGCGGCATTCATCATCATATTTTCTTGTGTGCTATCTTCTCGTCTCCTTCCTCCAGCTGTCTTTCAGGCCACACTGTCGTCTAGTTTTTCTTGTTGAGGAATGCCAAGAACATGTGAAAGCATCGCTCGTGTAAAAATTGAACATAAACAGCGCACAAAGCGTTGTAATTTACAGCATTTTGCGCTGTCAGATGGCAAGAACCTGCGTAAATACCACAGTTTTAGTCCCCGAAAGTGGATAAAACATAGTTATTTACAGGGTTTCGCTCGCGTCACGATCCGATTTTTCGAAAAACACGTAAATGCCACCGTTTTTTTCATTCATCAAGGCAAAAAGTCGGTTCAAAAAGTGCAAACAATCTCTAATTTACAGCTAATTTACAGTGGTTTGGTATTGTCACGGGCAAAAAACTGCGTAAATACCAGCGTTTCAGCGTGCAACAGTGGCCAAAACACCGCTATTTACAGTAATTCGTGCCTTCCACGTTTTCTTGACATTCCAAAAATTGTGTAGATACTAGCATTTTTTGCAATCAACTTGCCAAACATGCTGTAATTTACAATGTGTTTTTTGCTTTGCCTTCAAAAACACTGGTATTGCCTCAGATCAAAGCACCGAGGGACGGTCGAACCAATGTGTGAAGCAACGACCTTCAAAGCGCCGAGGCGTCAGCGACAAAAAAAGGGCGGCAAGCGACTCAGCACGGCCTGTCATGGCATGGGGCAAAGCCAAGAACCCCAAGTCTTCCCAGGACAGAGACGGTAAAAGCAACATGAGGATCAACCACTTAAACCATTTCATTGAACACCGCGTGCTTCTGCTAGCGCTTCGGCTCTCCAGCACTAAAATTGCTTTTCACCTTTCGGCTTGTCCATCCTTGGTCTTTGTGTTCGACGCTCAGAAACAATATGAACTCAGGTGGGTCAAAAGCAATATGTTCGTCTCAATTGAAGTGTCAAGTTTCAGAAGAGATCACACCGCTGAGGTCCAGTCGAGATGCCTGCTCGCCTCGCGCACCACTCAGAGGTTGCGGTTACGACTGTGAATCGGGTTTGCTTCATGCAAGGCGCTTGCCTCTGAAGCGCGCTGGACTGAGGTCTTTGTGCTCGAATACTTCGGCGGCCGCTGCGAGGCGAGGGTAGGTTGGGCCCCGAGAAGCTAAGTAGGCCGTCACTGGACCTAGCATCGCCGCAGGAATGCCGGCAAGATGTCCCGTACGTCGGGGAGGATCCGGGCTACCGCGGGGACAACCTGGTGTACTTGTGTCGGAGCCTCAGTCTTACGCCGCTTAGACACCAACAGGACCGGCCGGCTGAAGACTCAGGCCTCCGCTGCGCGGAGCGCAACAACTACACCATCACCTTTGCGGAGCCGGAGCCGTGGCAATCTCAGGTCATGAAGTCAAACATCAGGAACTTCAGTCGCAGCTCTTTCAAGACGTCTATTCAATCTGTGAAACAAAGCAGTCAAATGCGATTGCCGCGCGGCCGGAGGTCGGACACAGAGACGGAGTCGGAGTTCTCTATACTCCGGATCCACGGAGGCGGGTTGTCTTAGTGGACTAGCTTCTGAAGTTGTGAGCTCCTGCAAGCAATCGCGTTGCACGAGGTACCTGGCTCACCAATCCTGTCCGATGATGAAGGAGACGTTCCATCGGACGAGGAGGCACGGGGCGACGCATGCTAGCTGCCCCTTTGTGACCACATTGTTGTGATGTAGGTGTGGCCCCATCCACATGGATGGGTCTATGCCTCCGAGGCGGTTTGCCAGGCGAGGAAAGGGAGGGGAAAAAAAAACCAAGAAGCCGATACGTCCGACGGGCGCATGGCAGTTATGCCGTACTGCCTCGACAGGCCTACGAAGCGGACCTCCGAATGCTGCCGCAGGACGGCTGGATCCGCGCAGACCTCAACTCAATACACACGATGTTTGTCGAGTTTGTTTGAGGGACCTGAATCTCACTGGCCTCGAGGTTACACGGACCCGCTGACTCTGGAGAACTGGTGGCACAAGGGTGTCACCTGGGGGTGGGAACGTGACTTCTATCTTGAGGTCTGATACATAAACGCTTGAGTGCCTTAGACATCGATGGTTATATGCAGATGTAGATACATACATACATACATATATACATATATAGATATTAACATATATAGGCATGGTAACAGATGTTTTTAAATGATGCCGTGTTCGCCGCAGAGTGAATGAGATAAAGAACTAGTACGGTATGAGTTTCCTCTAGGATTTCAGGGGGGTTAACCCCCCTAAGGAGGGTTGATTTTCTGCCTTTCGAAAAGCTCGAATTTTTTGAAATGATGCTTTCGAAGTTCCCTCAATTTTCTACAGAACAACTTTTGGAGACCACTGAGTCGGAAGACCCTGATTTTCTGGGTAGCTTCAGTGCCCAAAATCCAGGAGCATAATTTTAGCATCTCTGGGAGGACGGTCATAGATTTTCTAGTGGTCCCTGATTTTCTAGAGAGGCACTGGTAGGTCATTTTGTTTTGTTTAAACATGCTTAAAATCCAGTCCCATCTCTCTCCTGTCCAAGTTTGCAACACTTGCCGGATCTCGCTGCATCTCATTGCAGCCGTCGAAAAATTCGAAAAATTCGATGGGTTGGATGTTGGGTGTTAGAAAAAGAGAACCATTCCCCGGAAGTTGTTTTCAAAAATTTTGATTTCGCAATTTCAACATTATGCAATTCAAGCAGGGTGATGTTTTTCTAAGAAAAAATGCTTTCCATAGCTTCGAAAATGCACTTCTTGGGGGTTGCCATTTTTCTAGGATACCTCAAATTGGTTTGATGTCTGTAGCTAGATTTTCTTGGGCCCCTAATTTATACAACATTCATTTTCTAGTAGAAAATCACAGGCCCCAACCTGACCCGGTGAACTCGTACAGGGATGATATTAACATATATAGGCATGGTAACAGATGTTTTTAAATGATGCCGTGTTCGCCGCAGAGTGAATGAGATAAAGAACTAGTACGGACAAAGAAGAAAAAGTAGCCGTCAAAAGAAGTCACGTTCCCCAAGGCCCAATCCAATTGTTTCACCGCCGGCCAAGCAATATATGTAGTTTGTTCAGACAGCAAAATGAAAACATCTGCTGGTATTGGTTCGTCTCTTGTTATACATTGCTTGCAACGGCCTAGCAGGACTTATCCACAGACACCGCTAGGTCGTTGACGCCGGAGACTCAAGGCAATCGGCGACAAAAAAAGAAATTGGGGCAACGTTCGGGAAGGCACTCCTGAAACCTTGGTCCGCAAACCAAGAAAAGCACACGGCCGTTGAAAGAGGCTTGCGCGCATGAAATCACAGACACTGCAATCCGATCTGTAGTTTACATCAGCTCAAGCAGGACAAAGAATCCATTCGGTCTCGCGGCGCTTGCGGTACTGCAGCGTCGGGTGCTCAGCTTATTGCCTTGGCCCCGCATCAGGGCCACGTCAAAGCCTCACATTGCACATGCAGCGAGGTCGATGCCAAATACTAAGAAGCGGCTGCGGGATCCGACCGACGAAAAGCCGCAACCTCAGTAGCGCCTCCTGCCGATTGTGCTTTCCGAGATGAAATTACAGTCTACCAAGGCCCGTCTACGTTCCGTGGAAAGAGCGGCGACGGCCGAAGCAGCCGGCGATCCGCGTCAAGAAGGCGAGGCGCGGGGTGTAACATGACCCAACCGTTCGAAGAATGAGCTCTGAATGGCTGAGGTCACCATGGACCTCGGGGGTGTTGGCCTCATTGTCTTGCAAGAGGCACGCCTAGTCAGGTTTGTGTAGCATTGGTTAGAATCATTCCTCACGCCTGCAGGTCTACATCCCCAGCCGGAACGCCAAGGATCCGGCTCCGCCGAAGGTTTCAGGCGGGAAGCCGATTAGTGTTTTGTGCATCCCTGGTCTAAAAAAGTATGGGTATCTACACAATTTTCAAGTTCGAAAAATTAAAACTTGGCCGAAAAATGTGTCAAAACGGATCTTTTTTCCGATTTTAGGCACCCTCAAAGCGGGTGGGGGGTGGGGGAATGCTCTTGGAGACGCTTATGAGCGACCCGGATTCCGTCCAAAAAGCTCTTCTCCAGCAGAGTGCAGGATTTTTGGCGTTTTCGGGGCCCGGGTGGGAGGGTCGTGCCCACCATAGAGCTCTAGTCGCTCTGGGACGCTTGTGGGGCAAGCCACTCTTGGGGAGCCGGCGGAGCCGAATTTTTGAGCTGACGCTCATCGTCGGCTCCGCCGGATTACTTGACCTCGACGTCATCGCAGGGTGGGCTTGAAAGCTATTGAATGAGGACCTGCTGCTTCAGAAATATATTCCTTATGTTTTTTTGAACATATTCATGGAATCATGGAACTGCAGTTTTTTCTTGGAGACTCTTGGAGCAAGTTGGGAAGGCTTGTTCCCGAAAGCTCCTGCCAAGGTTTTTCCTAAAGAATTGCTGTCAATTTCAACTTTCCACTTCGTGTAAAAGCGCCTCTGTGTAAAGACTTCTCTGTGTAAAGACTTCTCTGTGTAAAAAAACTTCTGTGTGTAAAAGTTTCTGCGTGTAAAAGCTTCTCTGTGTAAAGACTTCTGTGTGAAAACTTTTGTGTGTAAAAGGTTCTGCGTGTGAAAACTTCTCTGTAGAGATTTCTCATGATTTCTCCGTGTAAAAACTTCTGTGTGTAAACGCGCCATAACGCGCCTGCATGTTAAAGCTTCTGTGTGCAAACGCGTCTGTGTGTAAAAGCTCTCTGTGTAAAAACTTCTGTGTGTAAAAACTCCTCTGTGTAAATGCGTTTGTGTGCAAAAACTCCTTAGTGTAAAGACATCTCTGTGTAAAAGCTTCTGTGCGTAAAAACTCCTGTGTAAAGACTTCTCTCTGTGTAAAAACTTCTGCATGTAAAAACCCGTCGGTGTAAAGACTTCTCTGTGTCAAAGCTTCTGTGTGTGGTGGCTGCTGGTGGCTGCTGCTGCTGCTGCTGCTGGCTGCTGGTGGCTGCTCCTGCTGCTCCTGCTCCTGCAGAGAAACTTGTAATCCTTGACGCGCTCCCCCTTACTTGCATGAGCCGGGTATATATATATATATATACATATTTAGATACATATACATATTTGCCATAGATGTCTCAATGTCCAGCATGTTTTGGCTGACAGGCAAAGAGGGCCATCGCCCTATTTTCACAACCATAGTATAGTAAAATGACGGTCGATTTGAAGGAGAGGGTGCTCTGAAAAATTGATGGTCGATCATCATTGTTGCCATTTGAATGACAATTTGAAAGAGGATACCCATTTTCAGTCAGGGGATTCCGAGTTCGTGGATTAGTGCATGATCCCATCATGGCCTAGTTATAGTTCGTACATCCAGCAACTGGCATTTTTCATAGATTCACGTTTGAAAGAAGGCTCACTTCTTGGGGTTTTACTACTACTTGGGACACTGAAACGTCATGTTGAACCTTCTTTGGAAGGAAATCACATTCGCTACACCGATTCTTTTCTGCAATTCAAGGTTATAGTAAAGCCTTCAAAATCTCCGCAGAGAAAAAACTTCAAAACATCGTTTGACCTTGAAAATAACCGATTCCAACCTATGATGTCCTGTGGGAATGATGTGGTTACTACATAAACATCTATGTATATATATATATATATACACAGCTATCTAATACATATCTATATATATATAATAGTATAGGATACCCATACACACACAGATACATATATATATAATAGTATAACATACCCATACACACATATATATAATATAATTAAATTATAATATAATTATAAAATAAAATGATATATAATCTAATCTAATAAAATGTAACAAAATGTATTATAATATAATATAATATAACATATAAAATAAGGTAATATAATATGATATAATAACAGAATTATAATTATAATTATCATGTAATATAATATATTTTAATTATGATACAATATAATAAATATATTATTATTATGATGCAATATAATATATTTTAATTAACATTTAATTTAATTTAATATAATATATTATAATAAAATATAATATAATATAATATAATAATTTAATATAAGATAATAAAATATGATATAATATAATGTAATATATTTTCATATAATGTGATATAACATAATTTAGTATAATTATAATATAAAATAATGTAATGTAATATAATATAATATACTATATTATAATATAATATATTATAATATAATATGATATATTTTGACTATAATATAATATAATATACTATAATATAATATAATATAATTTGATATAATATTTGATATAATAATATAATGTAATGTAATAAAAAATGATATATAATATAATATAATATAGTATTTAATATAATATGATCATAAAATAAAATAAAATATAATATAATATTTTAAAATATATAATATAATATAATATAATATAATATAATATAATATAATACAATATAATATAATATAATATAATATATTTTGATTTTAGTAACATATAATATAATATAATTTAATATAATATAATATAATATAATATAATATAATATGATATATTTTGATTATAGTATAATATAATATAATATTATATAAGATAAAAAAACTATATATATATATTTCTGCATCTACATGTGAGGCGTTGCGCCCGGACAGACCATGGAGGTCACGCTGCCGGGCAAGCACAACTCGGGGCCCAACATGCAGCAGGTCATGACAGGCGCACGGCGCGGCGGATGGGTTTGATGGGTTTAGAATGGTTGAACAAATCGAAAGGCACCTCTACTCTACCCAATGCCCAACATTATTTTTTTTCCGGGGTTGCCAAACCTAACCTCCGGTGTCTAACATGGCAATGGAAAATATTCGATCGCCATGTTGGATTGCCGTTCAGGATCTGATGGGATATGGACAGCTATCGTCTTCTTGATTTCAAAGCACAAACGTTCGCCCTCGTTTTTCATTTTTGATTAGTCATTTTATCAACTTCCATCATCCGTTTCTGACATCTTTTCGGGCCAAGTGTGTGTTTCTGTAAGTTAAATCCATAGTTGTTGCTGCTCAATGTACCAATTTTATTGTTCGTCACAACTCTAAGCAGCATCTTGGTGAATGCGTAACATCCCAATCTCTTGATGCTCCGCAGGTCTGGTGCCTGGCTGTGCTGCCAACAACGACGCGCCCTTCCTCTATCTGGACAGGTGTGCAACAAAGCATTGGGCCATTGGGGATGTGTTTTATTGGGAGGATCAAACTTGACCTCTGGGAACCTCCGAAAGACTGGTCATCTTTGGTAATGGGAGATGATATGGGTATGGGTCAATACCTATAGATACATTTTTAGTGGGATTAACATCCATTTACCAGCTATTTTGGGGTTCACTAGGTACCAGGGTTTTGACTCATAGCCATATCATGAAAGATCAGGATCCCGTCAACGGCGGATCTCGGGATCACGGTCATATGGGGATGGATCGAAAGTTACAGACTAGCGGTGGTCATTTATAATACTGTATAAAGAACTAGCGAACTCTCACCCATAGCACATGGAAGTTGGACAAATACATCTTTCGCAGGAAATCCATGTCAGACTTCTGAGAAAATCAACTTCCATGCTTGGCTATCAGGAAGAATATCCTCGGGATACAAAAAACAAGGTTCTGAATTATTCTGAGGCCCAAAAGACACGAACAGTAGCATATACGATACACTCAGTCGGCAAGATTTAGGAATTTAGGGGTTTCAGGCAACAAAAACAGGGGAACCCCCATGAACTCCAATCAGCAATCCTGCAACGGGAAGTTACTTTTGCACCAAAAATCGCTGTGGACACCATGACTACAACTGCTCATTTGGGCTCAACAACCAGCACATCATGAGCCCCAAAAAATGGGTCGTCGCTGGAGATCCCGAAGGGGTGAGCTTTTCCACTAGGGTATGGGTCAAAATGATCAGCCCCAAACAGTTGGATCGTTTTTCGATGTCTTTCCTAGCAAAAATGCCCAGCTTTGTTTTGGGTGCATTTTTCCCATTTTTTCCCACCACAAGAGAAACCTGAGTTCTAGGGGACCAAAAACATCCCAACTTATGCAGCTGAACTGATGGTTGGTGTCATCCCTGGGTCCCTGGCAGGCCATTTGCCATCGACTGCTGCTGCCTCAATCGCCCCAAAGTGGATGTCTTCGATGTTCGCGGCACTGCCACGGTGAAGCTGGGGATCATTTCGGCTCTTTGGGCCGAACAGGGGTGAAGCCACTAGGGGAAAAAACCATGAAGAATGGTCAACAAACACCACGGCAACAGGACTTTTTTTGGTCACCATCAAGACTGGTGATTTAGAAAACCCTTGGGAACTCCATGGGAAATTTCGGTGCGATATCGGTGGGGATATCGATTTGAACTGGTGTGATGGGATCACTGGCGGCGCTGGCAGATTACCACAGGGTATAGGATAAGTTTCCCAGAACAAGCTGGCAAAGTGCATGCCTGGACTCGTGTTGAATCCCTCACTATTGGTTTATCAAACAGTGTAAAATCAACATTTGTGTCCTTCATCCTCCCTTTTTTGAGGGTCGAATCCTCTAACATCATCACAAATCATGATTGTCCTTGACATCTGATCTGAGGACCCCTTTGCATGGATGGATATGACCTTTGGTACCGTGGCAGCGATGTGATTCATTGGTCGAGTGTAGATTGGGTATAAATTGGTATGTCGAAAATTAATTGCTCAATCGCTTTGTAAATGTCCAACTGCAGCAATTGCGATTCTTCATATTAGAGTCTTAGAACATATATCATGGCAAATGGTTAACAGTTGGTTTACATCCCATTGAATCCCAAATGTGATTCCCGCTCAGCAGCTGATTAGTGAAGAGCCCTACCAGATTGGTTCTAAAAGTACCTTTGGAATTGATTGGGTTTGTGGGCACTTAATGGCGAGCCATTGTCTGTTTGGTTAGTATCTCCAATGAAATATCCCAGTTACACGAGGTTATATGCTCCAGGTAATGGCATTTATATTACAAACTATTTTGATGTCCCTCCAATGATGCTAGCAGCACCAGTTATCTTCTCCACAAAAATCAGCTCCATGGCTGGAACATCCGCCAGCACGACTTCGGTATTTAGTTTTGGTATTTCCCAGGCAGCCATGTTTGATTGCCGAAGGGTATAATAGATGGTGCTCGGTCAGAACAGAATTTTTTTTCATAAAAAAAGGCGTTCCCAACAGATCATCGAGGTCACTTGAAATCACTGGGGAGGAATTTGTCGCCACGGGGACGATCTGAAGCTAGGTACCATCCACAGACGTTGATTGGTAGGTCATGCCTTCCAATTTCTGAAAAATCCATTCACAAATGCCCCTTTTAATTGGTTGATTTTCATAGAGGGGTACTGCTGTCTTTAGAACAAATACATTATCATTATATATATATACATCATGATCATTATATATAATATATGATATATAATTTAATATATATATATTATTATAACATATATTGGCAAATGAATCCAAATGGTGTCCCAGGGGTCCCAAGCCGTCCCAAACCCTTTTTTTGCTGAGCAATGCTTGGACCCCTCTGGGTTCTGAAAATCATGCACCCCAAGTAGTTGAGATCCTGATTTTCCTCATTTAGATTGCTATGGAGGATTAAAGCCCCCCATGTTTTTGAGTCACCCAGTCTGTGACATGGTCATTGCTCATCCCCTGATTTATTACCCTTTACAAGGAATCCCATTCATGATGGTGCAACGTCATCTCACTATATCCCCATCATGTTTGGTTTATATACCCCCAATTTTTTGGTTGGTCAAAATCCAACGTTCATCGGGAACATCCTAACTTTGAATGGCTAAATCTGAGAAAATCCTCATTTTGCCCGGTGAGGTCCACATCATTTTTGATGGTGAACTCCTGGTCCCTCACCCCGAGGCATTCACATCGGACCCAATGCCCAAGAATCTGACCCTCCCGCGCTCATCGCCCGTGGGGCGGCATGTCAACCGGGTGCCGTCTGTAAGTTGTGCGGCGTGTGCTGTGGACGCACCTGCCGCTTGCTGCGAAGTGGTTCGGTGGTGGTACGACTTTGGCAGATTCATCGCTAATATGATTCATATGGGGGTTTTCATAAATGGGGAAACCAAAATGGATGGTTTATAATGGAAAATGCATGAACATCCTGTTCAAAAGGATGATTTGGGGGTACCTCCATTTATGGAAACCATCCATATATAGCAAATTCAGAACTTATTAACTGTTAGCAATCGAATGCCAGCGGGATGGTGATTTTTGGGGTGAAGACTTCGGTTCTTGGGGTGTGTTTTTTTTGTCCTTTCTGTGATCCCTACAGTTGCTTCGACCAAGGTAGAGAAGCCTATTTGGAGGTAGTCGATCCCAATGCACCTTGGTGATGCTCCCGATGGTGTTCCGCTGGGCTAGTAGCCTAGGGAATCGTGGTGAGTGACATGAGTGTCCACCTTTTTTAGCTCTGGGGGAAGGGAACCAAAGCTTGAAAATTTGCAGATGTGGGCTTGGCGGCACGCGCAGGTTCGTCATTTTTTAAATCTTTATGCAGGAATTTCCTATGATGGACGTGTAAGTTGCCAACCTTCAACCATCCAACTTTTTCAGATCAACATAAGCAAAAAATGGCGTGCCAGTCTGAAAGTCCTAAGTTAGATTGCTCGCAGACCGGGTTTTCAAGCTCTTGTTTTCCATGTTTTTTTTCCCCAAACATGCGGGTTCTCCTTTGAGTTCAACCGGATTCTCATGGTCTTTCCGGATTTTTCCCAAAGAAAATCCCCCAAATTTCAACCCCGTCCCCGCCCAGGACAAAGACCGCACAGTGGCGTTCATCACCAAGGGCTGGGCTGGAGGGGCCCAGGAGATCTTCACCTCGGCGAACTCCTTTTACGTGGCTGGGATGGCTAGGTTTCTGGGGATAGGGTTTAGGGTTGGGGCCTGGGGATGGTGATTAGGAAGGCTGAGATCTGATGAGAAATCTCCAAGTCTTGAAGTTTTTTGGTGGTTGATGATGTTTGTTTTCTACCATATCCCGGTTTTGTGAAATGTTCCGAATCCATCTATTTTAAGAATCTGTTTTGAAGCCATTCAAAAGGGGATAAACCAAGATTTGAAACGTTTTTTTTTCAAGCCACGAAATTGGGATATACTATATCCAACTGAAATGAGGACAGATTGTGGATTACCCACGTGACTCCTGATTGCAAGAAATGCTTAAACCAACGAAGGAGGATTTGACAACAAGGAATGGGGAAACTTAACAAGAATGAGGGATCTAACACAACCAGCAAAGATAGAGAGAGATTTTGTTAGATAAAAGGGACATGATGGGGATGTCGGATGTTTGAAGCATTGTTTGAGTCCATATTTCACATGAACGAAATACCTTGGGGCCTTGACAAATAGGTCGAGAAGACTTGGCCCGGCCCCGGAAAGCCAGTTTTTGAAATTCACAAGATTAAACAGGGCAAACATGTCATTTACATGTTGGCAAGTTGGTTGTATGCGAACAGCTTGTCAGTCAAAATGCAACTTTTGCCTGGCTCGCTTCAATCTCATTTTTGTTATTGATATTGTAATCCGTGTTCTCGTCGGTTAACACCATGTTTTTCTTTCTTCGCATTATTCAGCAAGTATGGGGTTATTCTATTTAACTATTTCTCGGCGTTTCCGAGTGAACATCATCCAACCCATCAGTTTTTTTTCTCAAAGAGTCGCGCAGCCAAGGTGGACTTTGGTGAAGTCAAGGATCCAGCTTGCAAAGCCTTGCTGCTGGCTGCTGGCTTGCAGGAAGCTGCCTTCAGGGTGTCTACTAAGAGTAGCTATGAAAAGGAGTTGTCTAAGATCAGGCTTGAAAGGGCTGGCTTGTTTTGAGCCAGGGGGCATGTAGTCCCTTTGGGGTGCCACAGGAGGTAAATGATACCAGAAATACTTCCGCCTTTCGTCAAAGACCATGACCTTTGGATGGCTCTGAAGGGCTGACACTTTGGTACCAAGGCTACAGCCCTCTTCCTGAACTACCGTTTCTTCGAGGGAAGAGCCGGTTCCACCCAATCCAGCTCCAATTGAGTTCGCGAGCTCGATAGTTCGAGGGCTGTTCCAGTTGAGAAAAAAGAGTTCCAGCGGCCAGGGATGATAACTTTGATCAGGAGTTGGCGCAACAGACTTGCTGCATGACAATGCTATCCCAGTACCTGGTTTGCTCAATGAAGTGCATCACAAGTCCCCCTGTGTTCAAGTGTGCACCTGGCATCACCTGGCAGGCTTCCGCTGTCGCCCTGGAAAGCTGCGAGAAAAGTTGGCCAAGCCGCAGATGTTGCAGAAGTACTGACTAGAAACGGCACTCCAGTAGCGGGATATATATAGCCTTTCAGAGTATCTCTTTCACTTTTCAAGTGAACTTCTTTGAATGTTTTTCCCGATATTTTTTTTGGGCCAGAACCAACCATGTTTGATTTGCAGAAAACTCTACAACAACACTCAAAGGTGATACGTGGCGATGCGGCGATATACTGGAAGGCAGCGAGAATCCCCTCGTTGGCGCTTCGCACATGCACCAGTCTTATGCAAGTCTTGGCGCATCGGTACTCTTTTCCTCCTGTTCCGTGAATTGTCATGGTAGCAATTAGGCAACAGCGTCATTGCGTGACAAACAACGTTGCAGACCACACGCACCCTTGAAGAAACCACACAAGACGCACAGTTATGCGAACTGTGTCCGTCCGCCAATGTCTAAAGGAATCGCTCACATCAGCGATTCGCATTTCGAGTTGAGCAGTGGGTCCATCAACGTTGATGGGGTTTCATTGCGATTGGCTTTGCAATAGGAAGGCACAACTCATAAAATCGATTCAAAGCCCGCAGTTTTGGCGACAGCCTTGGCCACCCAGGACCTATTTGCAAGAGGAGTCTTTGAGCACAATTCATTTTTTGAACGAAACTTTACAACACTTCAGGCGTACAAACTTCGTATTTTGCCACCTGTCACTTGCAAAGTGCCACAGGCACGGTGCATCCAAGGTTGCAGACTCTTGGTCCCAAGGCCTTTCAATTCAGCAGCTGCAATTTTTGGAAGGTTCTTGCCGTTGTGACCCTGTAAGACGGTCAGGTGGAAATCCCGAAAGGTCATCCCAGCATGGCGTTTGGCAAAGGGCAAAGCCCTGACACAAGAAATTGGCCAAACGTGACTCGAGAGCTAAAACTGGAACCCAAAACGCACTTGGCTGACCTTGTTCGCATTTGTAGATGTAGGTTTGAGATGGTTTGAGCTGAGGGCCTTTGATTGAAATCAACCCCCTACAGCAGAACGGTAAAAACAACCTTCCGTATGCAAACCAATGGTGGATGCTTCAAGCGTTCCGGAATGAACTCAGCATCCATTCTTTTCTGATTTTGTGGTGGCCCCCGGTGAATTAGCGCGAAAACAGACCCTGAGATTGGAAACAAAACATCCCTGGGCTGGAGTCTTTTTCCACCTATCTCAAGGTCAACTTGCCAGAAACGAATGGAAATCTAAGACTAAGAGCTGTCGCTGGTGCCGACCAAACCAGAGGCAATTTCGTTGTTGGATCGGCATCTCCAACCAGAACATTTGGATCCAGGCAATGGTCAAAAGAACTCACGTGCTTCTTGTACAACCTTGTTGCACATGGTTGTGTACATAGTTGACTTGCAAACTACATCATTCATCAAAATATAAATTCGCAACATTTTTTTTTTGCACTTCTGAACTTCCATTTTGACTTTTTGATGGTGGTCAGTGCGTCCTTTATCGAACCCCTCGCCAAATACTGTACCGCACCAGCAGCGCTTTTGACCTACGAATTGTGCACATATACCGTTTTAACACAGAGAACATTTGTGTGCCATTTTTTTGGCGCAAAGCGCGCAGGTTCCCAAGTTGCAGCGGGTTGGATTTATCAGGCGTGTCACGGTTCATGTGGGTTTTAGGTCATGCTCTGTGTGGAAATTTTGCGAAAAGCACGTGCGGGCGGCAATTCTGGAACCGAAACATGGTAAGCTTAGCGTCGGCATCGGTCCGAATTGGTGGGGTATCGTGAAAGGTCTTCCGCGGCATCTATTGCGTTCGCACATATGACGTTTTTAGACGTTTTTTGGTCAGAACATCAGTAGCGATCAACGTAACACGGCTACACCAGACTGCGATGTTTGGGATGCCATGAAGGAGCAGGTGATCCTGAATGAAACAGTGTTTGCTGATGTTTGCTGTGCCATGAAGGAGGACCCGTTTCACAATTATCAATATCGCAAACACAACCTGACCAACCAAACATCAAGATGAGCAGCTAAGGTTGCCAAATGTTGCCAACTTTGATTTTTTGAATTCAAAATGATGAGGGCTTGCGGTTCAAAATGTGTGGCAACAAACCGTTTTACCGCAGCACTGGTCGCGGTGGAATTTCAGCAATGAAAGAGAAACGTTTCAACTTCAAGTATTTCTGCTGTCCTTGCTGCATGCCATTGGCATTTGAATTTTCTTGGGGACACGAGAATGAACATGAATGAACTATATATGCACACATATAATGACGCAAGTGTGAAACCACAGCTAAAACCGTATCAGGACACACGAAAACACACAATTTTGAGATCATCCATATTTTGTTCCAGGTATTGCGGTTGTTTTTGTTAGGACTCTCCTTTCGTGGCCTCCATGAACTATGGTGTTGGAAGTTTGAGTTATGGTCGGGTTCGTGGGGGCTATTGCCATTGCTCGCAAAAATGGTACTCGTATGACCTTACCCCAAATGCCTCTTGCGTGTTTCGCGCGACCAAATATATTGTTTGGGGCAGGTTGTCGGGCGAAGAATTGCGAGATATGATCTGGAAAAAATATGACGATCTCACTGCGACCTCACTGGGAATGATGGTTAGTAGGGATAGCTATACCAATATAGCCCTGTTGCATGTCAGTGAATTATTTTAATGTCAATCCAGAAGGATCAAAAACCATCTGGATGGGAACCGACCATGTTACGAAATATACAATCACCCCACACCAAAATCATTACAACCCATTGCGCACAATTCATGATCACCACAACTCATTTGCACCAGGATCCAACCTGTCAAAAGTCACCATCATTTGACAAACCAATTCCTCCACCGCAACGTACGTTTCACAGTTCCTCATCACGATCAACATCGCACTCTATCATCACAACGCCCATTGTATATAAAATACTATAAAATCACATTGTAAATCCTATTGCGGAACCCGTTTTAACAACATTTTCACTAAGGATCCTTGCGCAGTTCAATAGATGTACGACCTCGCGGCAACGCTTCGACGTTCCAATCTTCCACTTCCAACGGCTAAACATTGCGTCCCAATGAGGCCGCCCATGCGGTCTGGAGTACGCAATGCGCAAGACAAATACCATGGTTTCATGTGTGCGGGCGTGTGTTCTTGAACCCGTACGTTCCACGTGTGAAGGGTTTCATGCGGAGCGTTCCAATCAGTACCTGGCGGAACAACAACAGATCGCATAAGACGACGCATTGTAACATCCAAACGGTTTACCTCATGTTTACACCTCTTCCTGTGAGCAGATCCAAGAATAGCAGCTGGTGAAATGACAGCCTCCAAAAAACCGCGCCGCAGCCGTTACCTCAAAGGAAAAAAAACGCGCAAAGTATCCAAGGGTTCGCAAGGGGTGACTTAGAAACAACTTGCAAATGATGATTCAAATCGGAAGTGTGTCCAGCCAAAATGTTGACTGAAGGTATGCCAGCCAACCATTTGTGACAAACATCAAAATCGACAACATCCAAGGTTCATCCACGAACTGTCACAAGTTTGTCCGGGGCTGGCGCCTGGGTTGTTAAGACTCGCGTTTTATCTGTGCTTACAATCAAACCCAGTCGAAGTAGAGCGTAAACAAGTCTGTCTTAGAGGGTGCGTCCCCTTCTTTAAATATGTCAACCTTATAGTGACCATATATAAATTTGAAAAGTGTGTATATATAATCCCTACTCTCTTAAAAATGGAATTGGAGGGGGGGGAGTCGTACTGAAATTTAATTTTAAAATTCAATTTTTGCAATCATGTTTTCTCAATGATCAATATTCCTCATCATTCCATGTCAATGGCAAGCAGGTGAAAATTAAATACTTGCGCTTAGCTCCGGAGGAGCTAAGCACATGTCAGACTGAAGCAGCACATGTGTAGGGATGGCATCCCTCCAAAAATTTGCGCTGCCGTGATCATACTTGCGCTTAGCTCCTCCGGAGCTAAGCGCAAGTATTTTCAAACCAGTGCCCAAGGCTTGTTAATAAATGTTACTTTACAATTCCATTCGAGGGGTTGGAGCACTATCCCAGGGGTTCCAAGCAAAAAAAAAAAGGAATTCGACAGGTTGGTTTTGTCCCCCCCCCGCCCCCCCCTCTATAGGGGTAGGGGTTATATATATATAGATGCCAGGGGTATTGACGAGGTCGGGAGTTCGCTTGGAGCGTCGAAAAGTGGATCGCTTAGAGCGTCGGAAAGTGGATCGCTTGGAACGCCGAAAAGTGACACCCACAGAGACATAAGAGATACATAGCGCTAGAGTTACAGATATACACAGAGGCATAGACACATAAATGGATGCATTCATATGTGCCTACATGCGGAAACACTGAAGCACGCAGGCAGTGACATGGGCAGATGCACGCAGACATGCGTTCCACGCGATCCGCCTTTCGGCGCTCGAAGTGCTTCCGCTGTCCGACCCACTAGATAACATATCAGACACCATAACATCCCATGACATTATATTACAAGGCATTACGTTACATGACACTACATCGCACATCATTACATTAAATAACGTCATATTAAATCACCGTACAATACAGTACAGAACGCAACCTTACATCACACAAGAGACCACTACAATACATTACATAACGTTACATTACAGGACATTACCGTACATTACATTCCATTGCATACCATCACATTACATTCCATTGCATACCATCACATTACATTACATTACGTTACATTACGTTACATTACGTTTCATTACGTTTCATTACGTTACATTATTACATTATTACATTAT